TTTTAATTAAACTGACTTGTCCAGCAAGCCCTCAGCCCAGGAAAAAGGCTCCAACCAAACCAAGTGACAGAACTGTTGCAAAAAGTCAAGAATCTCAACTTTCTTCTAGTCGTTCGTTGGGTATGGAAATGGCAGAAGGGTTGAACGTAGGAATTGTCCAAGACAGAGAAGCAGACCAGTATCATTAGAATCTCTGCCATGTTTTAAATGCTAATTTCTAAGGTGAGACCTGAGGTAGTCTGTAACCTATGGGAAGAATAAACAGGTGGATTTTAGAGGAGTATCCAGCTCTCCCCAAGGAGATAGATAGCCTGAGCCAGGGATGCTTGGCAATGGGAAGGTAAGCCAACCACAGGGTGGTTGTCATGACCTCTGCTGTATGTTTTCACTGTGTATTGTGTTTTGATCGGGTCATACTTCAGCTCCTCAGAGGTCGGAAACTTGGTGTCCTTTTGGCAAAAAGCCCAGCCCGGGCTGCGTGGTGGGCAGGCCACGGTTGCTGCGAGCATTCTGCTCGGTGATGTCCTCTGCCAGAGTCCCTATTTCCCAGGAGCTTGTCCGGCATATACTGGCCATTCCCCAGCTAGCCATGAAGCCCTGCCTTTGGCAGCCGAGCCTTCTGGGCTTATCACAGATCCATGATGAAGGCATTCATATGACAGTTTCTGTGAGACATGGGACCATGCCAGGTGTCGAAGTAGTAGCCAGAGGGACCACGCTGTGTTGGAGAGCCCTGTTTTAGCACCGGCAGCGTGCCTGCCGGAGCTCCGCATGAAGGACGGTCCTGGCAAGTCGTTTGAGGGGGGAAAGCAAGTGGAGAGAAAGGAGTCCCCGGGAGGTGGGGGGAAGGAGACTGAAGTTGCTCTAGCAATCACTTTTCTTGCAGGCCCTCGGGAACCACTGCTTTTAGAACTTCCTCCTTTATGTTGCCCGTGAGGAACGGAGGGGGCCGGGTCACCTGGCCCAAGGTAAAGAGAACCGAGCAGTTGGGGGCATCCCTCTTGGGAGTCCCTTTGAAATGTTTTTGTCCTTGCAGTTTCTAAGATGCTAATTCGAGCCCAGGGTGGTTGAAGCTCTGACCCAAGCCATAGTCGCCAACTTAACATTCTGCAAGCAGCTTGTAAACTCTCACCTGGAGCCAGGTTGTTCCAGCTTTTTGCCAAAAGAAAAGCCAACTCACGAATACTAAGCAGCTCCTGATTGATCTGTCCTTAAAGAGACTCATGTCACACTTAGAGCCATGGACAGGGCTGCAAGAGGGGACAGTCCCGGCAGGACTGTGCCACAACCGTGAGCCCGCACAGCCTCTTCCCAGCGCTCAGAGAGAGCCCCTGAAGCCCGGAACGATGGCACGACGAGGCCTAAGGTCCTCGACGTCCCACATGAAGGGACTGGGGTGACATTCGTCATTCCACGCAGACATGCTTGGTTCAAGGCTGGGTTAACCTTGATGCCAGCAGAATACACCAAACAGAAACATGGCATTTCCTCTACAGGATGACGGGGCCCCGCTTAGTCCCAGAAGTAGGAGCACTCTCAGGAACACCTGTTACTCATTTCTTAAAAGAGCAAGACAACATGACCTTCTGAGCCCAAGAGCCGCTCACTCACCTGAGGACCAGGCATGTGTATAAGTGCTTTCCACGCCCACGTGTCCTTTCCGTGTAGAAGCTGGAGGCCGCTTGTAGAGTCTGGCTCTTTGCTTTCCTTCTCTGCCTGATTCAGAAAAGGAGCCAAAATTCCGGAGAGGATACCCCCCAGGAAAGGTGGTGGAACCTCAGAGTGGCAAGGTCTGCACCCCAAGAGGAGCAGGGTCTTTGGATGATGGTGAAAGGTTCTTTCTCAAGCACTGGCGGGAGCTCTCCCTCGGTGAGCGGAACAGGAAAGGCCGGGCTGCTGCTGGACTTGTCAGAGCCATGCTCCCCCTGGTGGCCCATACTTCCTGCAGCCTCCAGCCATGTGCCCGCTGCCTCGTGGTATAACGTCTGGTGCTTCTGCTTCTCACCCTGAGCGAGGCACCAGCCCACAGGTGCAGGCCCTTCTGCCCCGTAGGCCGTGACCAGCTTCCACCCTGTTCCCCCACCACCTGGGGCCGATCGGGAGCGCTCTGAAAACTCTCCCGCCCACTCCACACATGGAAACAAAAGCGGGGAGTGAGCTGAGGCAGGAAAGGGGCGCTGCTCTTCACAGAGGACGGTGAACCCCGGGGTGGGGTGGAAAGAGGTGGTGAGGGGCTCACAAACTGCAGTGTTCCCTGTAAATTAAGCATCCAGTTACCTTCTGCGTCCGTCTGCGGTAATTGAAGGCAGGAAAAATGTCTTCGTGATTAACTGGTGGTAGGAAACTTTCTTATCAAGTGAGTATCACGAGATAGCGGGAGAGATTAATCTTATAAATAAGTATCTGTAAAATATGTATGTCCTTGAGGGCGGGGAAGATCCCTAGAACCCAGGTAGTGTATGTGGCCAAAGTGCAGGGGCGACGAGGCAGCACTGAGCACACTGAGCCCGAAGTTCATGGGGAGCAAGGATCCAACGAAGAGTTTTGGCCTAAGGAAGTTAATCCCACAGATACGTAGCCCGTGGGAGGTGGTGGTGTGGGTCACAGAGCTTCTCTCTCTGGCTTTCTCCAGCTTCTAGCATATTCCTGTGCCTAGGCATGGAGGAGGCAGTCTTTGAACAGTGGCCATGAGAGTGCCTTCCCCAAATGGGTTATTTCAGTCTGTGCCTGGACCCAGGAGGGCCTCTCGAAGTTTCTCTCTGCTCTCAGTCTGCTCAGCTCTTGCCCTTCACTTTCCCCTCTCCTCCATGGCTAGTATCGCTGTTTTCCCCACCCAAGTCTAAGACCCAGGGAGTTAGCTGAAAGACTCCCTATTTTTTCAATAGGTCTGAAGCTCATGGCAATTGGAGATTAATTTTCATTCCCACAAGATCCCCCATTTTGACAGCTCCCTAAGGAAAACACAACTTCCTGGCTTTCCTGTTACTCTCTGTCTTCCCATCAGCGAGTCTGACTTTGTGCAGTTGGGCGAGAGTGTCCGGGATGTGAAGAGCTCTCCTCGGGCAGATGCCCTGTTGTCGGGGGCGGGAGGGGGGGGGCCAGAGGGGAGCGCTCCCCTCCCACAAGCTCCGTTGTCTCTAAAAGAAAAGAAGTTGTTTCCATGGCAGAGTTCTGCCTCGTTGAGATGACTTTCAAGACACAGAGGCTGTTGCGTCCGCAGTAGGCAACACTTTTGGCCAAGGAGGGCGATTCGTCTCCACCATATTTCAAGTCGAGCTTATTAGGTTGCTGGAGGGGCTCGCACATCACAGAGCGGGCTAATTGGCTGCAGTGCACTCTGCCTCCAACCCATCTCCCTTCTCCAGTTAAACTCCCATCATCCTGTTGTCCTGGGCGACCTGCTGCTACCTCCGATTTGGCATTTCTGTTTGGTTTGGGATTTTTGGGGTTTTTTTGTAGTCCTCTGAAAGGTAACTTAATGAAACACTTTAAAATACTTCATTTTTTAATTTAAACTCTTTTAATTAAAGCACTTTTCATGGAACCCTCAGTCACGAGTTCTTTCCCCACATCCTTCAGTACTTAATCTCGGAGCAGAATTGGAAATATCGATAGAAAGTGTAAATCATGCCCTCCTGCTGAAAGCGTTGTATCAGGTTTCGGCTCAAAAGAGCACCATTACCTTTAGCTGTCACGGATCTGTACACTTGATCGATAAACTTCAAATATTATTAGAGGTGGAGGCTTCAGAGATTTGCTCTGTTCTTTGGAGAGAGACAGAGATAAATCTTTCTTAAAAATTGACTTGAATTTGCACTCTCCGTCTTCCTGGTGAAATGCATTTCTCTCAGGCATCCAGCAACTGCAAGGGGGACAGATTTATAGGGCCATGTGCTTCTTGTACTGAAAGATTTAAATGGTAAATCCTTCACATATGACTTCACAAATCATGTAAAGTTAAAAGATTTTTACCGTTTCTGTTGCTGCTGTGCTTAAATTGTAAGGTACAGCTAGTAAATCATTTTAATGGAGGTGTCGTACTTGACTCAATAAAAAAGAAGACAATGGTTTGGCTTCCACTCCAAAATGTTAATGTATTAATCAACGGGAGAATAATTGTTTTTTACTACATTATAAATCTCGGGTGCCATTAGGACTTCAGCAAGGGGTGATGTAGCCACATTCCTAAATTAAAATTGTTTACACTGCCATGCATCCATTCTGCATCACCATAGCTCATTCTGGGTCCATTTTGGAGCTGTTCCCCAGCCAAACGTGTCGTTCGTCAGCTGGAAGAAGACATCCTGAGGGAGTGATGCTGATAAGGGAAAATTAATTGCCTCGTGAAGTGTTAAATAAATAAAAGAAAGCCCGTCTGTGGCAATGGACAATTATTCCTTGCTGCCTTTTTTTGAACTAGGTTTTGAGGTTTTAGATGGAGGCTTACTTACTCCCTTGTACCTCCTAAATGTAGCGAGCATGTCACCTGTCTTTAGTCTTATAAGCCTTGTTTTATCTCGAGGCAGGTGTGGCTTATGAGCTCCTTTTCCTGTGCACGTGCCTAGTGGGGGTGAAGTCGCTGGGCAGCTGGTGAAAGCTCCGGTCGCCTCCCCTCCAGTGCCCGAAGGTGCCATCCCGAGCGCCCTTAAGTAGCTGGGTTGGCCTCCTCGTTAGGATCTGCAGCTGGACACAGACGGAGTGAGCGCTGAGACCAGGCCGGGACCGGACAGACTGTTTCTTCTCTCCCTGGTCCCTGAGCGTGCTCCCCATGCGTTAGCGCTCCTCGTCTGCCTGTCATGAAATTGCCTTGTGGGGAGGACAGATCGGTCCGGCCCTGGCCCGGTCAGTCTGTTCCCTCGCTGTAAGCTGATCCATCTGGCTGATATCTCTGGCTCCTCCATTATAAAAGAAGGTGACCTCTGACCTGAAGGCAGTGTGGCCAGGGCTGCTGGTGTCTTGTAACGAGCTCTACAGCCCTGTTCCTTTTCTGATTCCGACAGATTCTCGAGCCGGCGAGGAGGGCGCCATCCGAGCGGTGGACCACGCCGTGATCGGCGGTGTCGTGGCCGTGGTCGTGTTCGCCATGCTGTGCTTGCTCATCATTTTGGGGCGCTATTTTGCCAGACATAAAGGTAAGCAAGATGCTCTGGCAGGCAGGAGGCCTCCCGTCACCACCCCCCTGCATCTGGGGACTTGACGGAGGTTTCCCTTGATAGGCAGTTGGGATTATGTGGCCACATAGCCTATCGATGTTTCCCGAAACTGGGAGAGGGGAAAAAAAAACAGAAATCTCAGCAGCTGCTGATGAGGACTCTGAGGGTTGATGAGGAGTGCTTCTTGATTTGGATTTTTCTCTAAAAGCTTTCTAGATGTGTGATTCTGCAACCCATAATTGGGGATAGAGCAAAAATTGTAAAAACAGGGGCCGGGCTGTGAGAGGTGGGGCATGAACCCCAAAGCGATCAACGTGGAAAGAACATGCCCATACCCTGCTGCTTTCTGGGAAGCAGGTGGACAGGCAGTGCTGCCTGGCCCCAAACTCCGGGAAGGCTGGTCACAGTGGCTAGAATACTTCCTTGGTTTAATGTGCTTTAAAAGCCACATAAATATGTATTTTTTAAAAATTATCAGTGCAATTGATTTAAATTGCCATTAATCATCACACTTATCAGCTGTGCAGCCTGGATGGGCAATCATCTTTTCCAGCGCTCCTCCTCTGTACCCCATGCTGCTCCGTTCCTCTTCCCCCCATCTTGGTAATTTATTCTTCCTTTCTTTGTCGGCCCTTGTCCCTCTTCTGTTTTTCTCAAGCTCTGTGCTGTGAGCTTGTGGGGTTTTCCTATAGCATTAACCGCAGGCGCTTGCCTACCACTGGAGCGTAGGATTTGGGTTTGGGGAGGGTCCCTTGAGCACAGCAGTGGAGGTCCAAGGTACTTGAAACCACCTCTAGGACCCACAGTGCCCGTCTCCCACGTAAACCATTTGGGGACCCTCTGCCTGTGCCCAAGGGGCAGCAAATTGGGCCGAGAACGCCCAGCCTCTTGGTGCCGAGCTTGATAGAGCCAGGAAGTTGCGGCCAGAGAGCAGGGCCGAGTCTGCTCAGCAGCTGTGGAGAACGAGGGGCCAGAGGAAAGAAGGGGATAGGGGGACATCTGACCGCCTGCCTGCTCAGATTTGTCACGTATGAAAACCTGAAAATACAACCAATGTATCAGCCTTTTTTTTTCCCTTGAGAATCTTCGAGAATACAGTATATAACGGGGGAGGAGGGCTGTTCGGTTATGGTAGGCAGTGTAAGCACTACCTAGATGTCCTACTGAGGGGCAGTCCTTGTCTCTCCCCATAAACTCTCCCGTAAATGGTTGGCATCTGCCGATGAGAGTGTCTCCAGCTTCGGAGCGTTCTGTGTGTCGTCATTCTCAAGTGGCTGTGCCAATTAGCGAATGCATGAATCCGGGTCCGGGCTAGAGTCACACCTTGAGTGAGAACCACTTGTCCCTTAAGACAGACCCCAGGCCTTGATCACAACCGCTACGCTATCAAGCTGTTTCTCGATCGGGGACCCCACGCTGAAGCAGGAGGCAGAAGACGGTCAGACCTGCCCGTGTGAGCCCCCGCTGATGCACAGGCGGCCATGACTCCTGAAGACAGGAGGCGGTGGGGGGGTGGGGGGGAGGTCAAATAAACGAGTTGAGGCGACAGTAGAACATCATCAGGGCCCTAATTCATTAATTGGCTAATTGCTCTTCCTTGCTTTGGTCTTTAACCATGTGCGCGCACATCTCTGGTCATTGGTCCTGGCGTTTACTGTTCACACGTCAGTCAACAGCTCTCCAGCTTTCTGCATTTTTAGCTCCCACTCACGTCTTCTTCTGCCGACACCCTCTGGTCATAATCACTGCTCTAATGTCTCATTTGCTGAATTATATCGCAGCGGTTCAGTTGGAGTGGTGCCTTTGGAAGCCCCGGATCCCCATTTGTCTCCCCCACCTCGCTCTCTCCTTCCAATTGTTTTTTTCCCCTCTGCTGCCTGCACACCACTTCGGCTGATGATGGCCATAAAGCACGTTGCCATCTCTGTACCACTTTGCACAGAGGCCATCAGACAGTCACGGTGCTTTACCCCTTCATCTTTCAGGTACATACTTCACTCATGAAGCCAAAGGAGCCGATGACGCAGCAGACGCAGATACAGCCATAATCAATGCGGAAGGAGGACAGAACAACTCCGAAGAAAAGAAAGAGTACTTCATCTAGATCAGCCTTTTTGTTTCACTGAGGTGTCCAGCTGGCCCTATTTAGATGATAAAGAGACAGAGATGTTGGAACTTGCGAGAAATTCGTGTGTTTTTTTATGAATGGGTGGAAAGGTGCGAGACTGGGAAGGCTTGGGATTTGCTGTGTAAAAAACGGAAAAATGTTCTTTGAAAGTACATTCTGCTGTTTGACACCTCTTTCTTTTGTTTGTTTGTTGGTTGGTTTTTTGTTTTTTTAAGTTTTACTTCTTCCTACCAAGTCAAACTTGGGTGCTCGGATTTAGTTTGAGTAGATTGCAGAAAATTCTGTGCCTTGTTTTTTGTTTGTTCATTGCGTTCCTTTTTTTTTTTTCTTTCCGGTTTTTGTGGTTTTTTTTTTTTTCTTTCTCTTTTTCCTTTGTGCGCATTTATTTTTCCCAAAAAATTTTTGGATTTTTTTTTTTTTTTTCCAAAATCTCCCATTTTGGAATTTGCCTGCTGGGATTCCTTAGAATCTTTTTTTCCCTGATTCTGTTGTTGTTTTTGCTTTTTGTTGTTGTTGTTTATTTTTGAAGCAACTGCTTTCTGTTCAAAATTCAGTTTCATAAAAGGAGAACCAGCACAGTTTAGATTTCATAGTTCAGAATTTAGTGTGTCCATAATGCATTCTTCTCTGTTGTCGTAAAGATTTGGGTGAACAAACAATGAGGACTCTTTGCTGCTACCCATGTTTCAAATACTTAGAGCAGTGAAGACTAGAAACTTAGACTGTGATTCAGAAAATGTTCTGTTTGCTGTGGAACTACATTACTGTACAGGGTTATCTGCAAGTGAGGTGTGTCATAATGAGATTGAATCTGTCTTTAATTCTGTATCTGTAGATGGCTCAGCATAGATACCCACACTGTCCAGAAAGGTTCGGGGCGGAAAGGGCTCCTCCTTTTTCAATGCCCTAAACAGACCTGACAGGTGAGGTCTGTTCCTTTTATATAAGTGGACAAATTTGAGTTGCCACAGGAGGGGAAGTAGAGAGGGGGGGAAAAGCTAGTTCTGCTCTGGTTATTTCTGTTCCAAACGATTCCATCCGCCTTTCCCAATCGGCCATACTTCTCACTAATTTGTAGGAAAAAGCAAGTCCGCGTGGCGTGTGAATGACTGGATGGGACAGGGTTGGGTTTTTTTTTTTTTTTTTCCTTTGTGCTTAGTTAAGAAGGCAGTAGGATGTGGCCTGCATGTACTGTATATTACAGATATTTGTCATGCTGGGATTTCCAACTCGAATCCGTGTGAAACTTTCATTCCTTCAGATTTGGCTTGACAAAGGCAGGAGGTGCAGAAGGAGGGCCGGTATTGTTCTCACACTGGTCTGCTGTCGATCTCAGTTCTCAAAAGGTCAGAGCAGAGGTGGAAAAACAGCATGTAGGGATTTTCAGTTACTTAATCAAAACTCAAATGTGAGTGTTTTTATCTTTTTACCTTCCATACACTAGCCTTGGCCTCTTTCCTCAGCCTTAAGAACCATCTGCCAAAAAATTACTGATCCTCGCATGATGGCAGCCATAGTGCTTAGCTACTAAAATAAGTTACCTTGAACATATCTTAGATGGGGAGCCTTGGGAAAAGGTAGAGGAGTCAAGTTACCATTTACATTTTTTTAAACAATGTGGGGATTTTCACTGAAACGTCTAGGAAATCTAGAAGTAGTCCCAAAGGACAAAAACTAAAAACTCTTACCATATGTTTTGGTAAGGCTCCAGACTCCAGGATACAGTCCCTATGGAAAGATGGCATCAAAAAAGAGATCTATATATATATAAATATATATTATATAACATTTTCAGTGAGTAATTTTGGATTTTGCAAGGTGCATTTTTACTATTGTTACATTATGTGGAAAACTTCCACTGATTTATTTAAGGGGAAAAAAAGTATCAACTCTTTGTTATTTGAAAGTGTGTTTATTTTTCTTGTCTTTGTTTTAACCTTTGATAGAACCATTGCAATATGGGGGCCTTTTGGGAACGGACTGATATGTAAAAGAAAATCCATATTGAGCAGCATTTTGTTTCCCCCCTCCTATCCCTAGGCACTTAACCAACACAAAAAGCCACAACGAACATCCCTTTTTCAATGAATTTTATAATGTGCAGCTCTATTCCGAGCCCTTAGCACCCATTCTGACCATAGTATAACCGCATCAAAGGGTGAGAACCATTTAGCATGTTGTTGAAAGGTCTTTTCAGTTGTTCTTTTTAGGGGGAAAAAAAAAAGCCTACCATTGCTCACAAAATTGGCATCTCATTTTTGGGACCTCCCATCTTTGTTTTGAAAAGTGTACAGTAGTGCAGTGTTCCCTGATGTAACTTTATGGCTTACAATGTTGACATGTCTCAGGTTCATGTGTTTCGATTGGTGTTTTCCGTCTCAGGTAGATTGCAAAGTGTAGGCCCCACACATTGGAAAAGAAAAAATAAATAAATAAAGCAAAAACAGGAAATTATGGGTTTTAGTTGTATATTGGTTTATGTATTTTTTCTTAAGTATACAGTGCACTGTTTGAAATGTATTGTTGAGTATTACTTTGTACAGGTTGATCACTTTTTTAGAGTGAAGAAAGAACAAACTTGTTTTTTGTGTTTTTTAAAGGAATATAAAATAATGAAGGATGTATAATTGATGCCAAATAAGCTTGTTCTTTAGTCACACCGACGTCTTATTTTTCCCTTTAGGCCAGTTCTGTTTTGAAGGTGTACATGAACAATGTTATGGTGTAAGAAATTCCATATCCATATGTTCCCATTCGCATTTTGTATTGGTTCATGTATACCATTTTTACAAAAAAAAAAGAAAAAAAAAAGAAGTACTATAAAATATCTGTCTTCTTAATAAAAAAAAATTAATGTTACCAAGTGATCCTTTACTCTTTATGGACTTCTTAACGGACGCCGGGGCGCGAGAGAAGAGATGGGGGCCCCTGGTCCAGCTTCCTCCCCAGGGTCGGGCGCGGCACCCCCCGCCCCCCAGAGCGGGCAGCAGGTGCCCCGAGAGGCTGCCGGCTGGGTCTTCGAACTGCTTTTTCTCTCCTCCGCTCACCCTCCCTGCCCTTGCTCTCTTCTCCCCCCTCAGTGGACAGGTGGGCCAGGTGCTCTGGCCGAGAGGACTCAGCGATTTGTGCAGGTTCACGTGATGCAGTGGCGGGCCAGCCAGGATGGCCCCTCCCACCGATTCGCCACCCGTCCTCCCTCCCCACCACCCCCTTCACCCACCACCCCCACCAACTTTCCTGTGTTGGCTGCTCCACCTGTCTCTTCCTTTGGGATTTCGTGTCGTAACAGTTCATTCTGCCTTCTTCATTTCAAGCGCTCTCTCCTTTTTAACCAAAGGACGGTGGGATCTGCTGAGGGACTGGCTGGGCCACCTGCGGGAGATGGTTCTCACTCACTGTTTAGGCTGCGGTGACTTCAGGGCAAGTGCACAGCAGGATTGGGCGTGTTGTTGCCCCCCCCCCCCCCCCCCCCCCCCGCCGCTTGCCTTGCAGGCCCAAGTGAGCAATGACTACACTTCATGGTGACTGATCTCACAAACGGCGAGGATAATATGTGAGCAGCCCCAAACCGCCCTTTTCCCACGATTCGCCCAGCTTGGGTGGAGCTTCCTTTTCTCTCTTGGGCAGGTAATGGGGAGAGCTCAGCAGTGGAAGGAAAGGTAAGCTCCAGAAAAGCCAAAGGCTGGTGTATTTCACGTCAGCCTCCTCCCATCCTGGCCTGGTCTCTTGCCTGTCTCTGTACAAATCGGCCAATCAGATACGCAGTCCCCCGGCATCTGCTGTGTGCTGTGTTGTGATAAACACCGAGAGGTGTGAGATAGTCGCTGGAGACGAATCAGAGCATCAGTTCCCACCCATGGGAAAACATGAA